GGAAGGGAAGGTACAGATATAGGTTAAAAAAGAAGTAAGAACTAAAAAGAAAAGGTAATAGGGGTGTGGGGTGGTGATTAACAGGTGATCTTATCATCTACAAAACGGATTTAGCAGCTGTTTAATCCTGACGTGATCAAACCCAGTGAATCCTGATAAGAATAATAAATGTCTGACCTGATGTTGGGCTAAAACAGCCAGTCAGTCACTCCTCGCTCCTTGTAAAGTTTATTGTCCACATAAAGCTTATCCACCGAGATGACAGCTCTCTTCCCATCCTGGATAAACTTTTTACGCAGCGGAAAGAGGACCCTGCGCCGATCAAGAATCTCCTTCGGGAACTGATCATTCACGCTGAAATCTTTTCCTTTGAGCTCTCTTCCGTGACTTTTAACAAGATCCTTCTGCTTAAAATGTTCAAATTTAGCCACGATGGGACGAGGTCTTCTGCTGTCTCCTCTTTTAGCTGCAAGGCGATGTACCCGGTGCAATGTGATGTTTTTAACTTTTTCTTCGGGTATCTTCATTTCTGTCTGAAGAAAGTTCTTTATTGTTTGCTCGCAGTTCTCCGCCCCTCCCGTCTGCTCCGGCAGACCTGCGAACACCAAATTATCCCTCATGCTGCGGGCCTGAAGGTCCAAAACCGTCTCCTTCAGAGTCTTGTTGTCCAGGGTGATCCGCGTCATTCCCTCTTCCAGGGAAGAGACGGACTTCCGCAGAGACGCGTTCTCAGCAGCGAGCCGCTCAACCTGTTCCTGGCTGAACTCCAGAGATGTTCGGAGGTTCTGAAACTCCTGGTGAAGAACCTCGAGCAGATGAAGTCGCCCCTCAAATCCCAGAAGCCGTTTATCTATAGAATCTAATAATTCTAATACGTCTTTCCGGGGAGATGAGGCCTCAGGCGAGTCCTGAGGACGGCTCCTCTTGGTCCCAGCAGGTGTTTCAGCCTCAGCTGCTGATTTCTTCGGACCCATGACGAATAACTCGAAAACTTCGTCAATATAATTTAGTAAACTTTCTGAATTCTCTTCACTTACCTCCAGATTGAGTGAGTTATACTTACCAGATTATTTTTTGCGTTGTCAGTAAATAAATTAGGCGAAAATGTGTCTTAATTGTTTGTGGATGTTTGTTAACGAGCTGCCATCAGCTTCAAACGCTGCCATGTATCCGGTGATCGGCCGTCAGCGCATGCTCACACACCTGTAAAATAAACGTTTCAATAAAGAGCGTTGTAACATTTTGAGTGTTAGAGTTTGTCTGCAGTTTAGATGATGAAGATCAGACATCAGGAAAACAAGAGTTTTACATCATCTTTACCATAATGTCTAAAAATAGTCAGAAATTTTAAAATAAATAAAAAAAGATTTCTTAAGCAATGGGCTGCAATTTATTTCTTACTTAGCTTCTAAAATTTCCATCAGGATTTTAAACCTTCGTACTTGACTTGTGTTACTACCTGGCTCATAGGACCGCAACAAAGTGGAGACTAAACACAGGTGGGAGTTTATGAGTTTTTTTTAATTATTAGAAACAGTCACATATAAAACACCAAACAGATCACAAGCCCAACCCGTAAAACTCATACGCAAAAGCCTCAGTGGATCTCAGAAGGTGTTTTCAGGAGCAACTCCCTGAAGCGGCATCTATCCTGCACCCACAGCTGCAGGGCTGCACACAGCCAGGCCATTGAGACTCATTTTAAATGGATGGAGTAGCTCTCTTTTTTCCAGTGAACCAAGTTCATTCTTTACTGAGAAATACTCACTCAGCATTATATTACAGAGAGTGCAGAATTATTAGGCAAGTTGTATTTTTGAGGAATAATTTTATTATTGAACAACTATTTACTCAATGAACCCAAACAACTCATTAATATCAGAGCTGAATGCTTTTGGAAGTAGTTTTTAGTTTGTTTTTAGTTTTAGCTATTTTAGGGGGATATCTGTGTGTGCAGGTGACTATTGCTGTGCATAATTATTAGGCAACTTAACAAAAACAAATATATACCCATTTCAATTATTTATTTTGACCAGTGAAACCAATATAACATCTCCATATTCACAAATTTACATTTCTGACATTCAAAAACAATACAAAAACAAATCAGCGACCAATATAGCCACCTTTCTTTGCAAGTACACTCAAAAGCCTGCCATCCACGGACTCTGTCAGTGTTTTAATCTGTTTACCATCAACATTGCGTGCAGCAGCAACCACAGCCTCCCAGACACTGTTCAGAGAGGTGTACTGTTTTCCCTCCTTGTAAATCTCACAGTTGATGATGGACCACATGTTCTCAATGGGGTTCAGATCAGGTGAACAAGGAGGCCATGTCATTAGTTTTTCTTCTTTTATACCCTTTCTTGCCAGCCACGCTGTGGAGTACTTGGACGCATGTGAAGGAGCATTGTCCTGCATGAAAATCATGTTTTTCTTGAAGGATGCAAACTTCTTCCTGTACCACTGCTTGAAGAAGGTGTCTTCCAGAAACTGGCAGTAGGACTGGGAGTTGAGCTTGACTCCATCCTCAGCCCGAAAAGGCCCCACAAGCTTATCTTTGATGATACCAGCCCAAACCAGTACTCCACCTCCACCTTGCTGGCGTCTGAGTGGGACTGGAGCTCTCTGCCCTTTACCAATCCAGCCATGGGCCCATCCATCTGGCCCATCAAGACTCACTCTCATTTCATCAGTCCATAAAACCTTAGAAACATCAGTCTTGAGATATTTCTTGGCCCAGTCTTGACGTTTCAGCTTGCGTGTCTTGTTCAGTGGTGGTCGTCTTTCAGCCTTTCTTACCTTGGCCATGTCTCTGAGTATTGCACACCTTGTGCTTTTGGGCACTCCAGTGATGTTGCAGCTCTGACATACGGCCAAACTGGTGGCAAGTGGCATCTTGGCAGCTGCACGCTTGACTTTTCTCAGTTCATGGGCAGTTATTTTGCGCCTTGGTTTGTCCACACGCTTCTTGCGACCCTGTTGACTATTTTGAATGAAAAGCTTGATTGTTCGATGATCACGCTTCAGAAGCGTTGCAATTTTAAGACTGCTGCATCCCTCTGCAAGATATCTCACTATTTTTGACCTTTCTGAGCCTGTCAAGTCCTTCTTTTGACTCATTTTGCCAAAGGAAAGGAAGTTGCCTAATAATTATGCACACCTGATATAGGGTGTTGATATCATTAGACCACACCCCTTCTCATTACAGAGATGCACATCACCTAATATGCTTAATTGGTAGTAGGCTTTCGAGCCTATACAGCTTGGAGTAAGGCCTAGTCCACACGTAGCCGGGGTTTTTTGAAAACGAATATCCGCCCCTCCAAAAACTTGCATCCACACCACCGCGTTTTAAAAACAAACTCTGTCCACACGTACCCGGATAAATACGTTGTTAAGGACATGCCAGACCTGTAGGCGGCAGTACTTCCCCCGTTCTTAACCTCGTCCTTCGTCTGCGGTCTTCCGCAAGGAGCAGTAATTCCGCTTGCAAAAACAAACAAGCAGAAAGCGCTTGGACAATTGATGGATCGGGTAGTGACAGAGCGCAGCTCTGAAAGCTTCCGTGATGCCGGCTAGTGTAAACACAGGTCGCACACGTGATGTCAGCATTTTTTTGTCGCGGAAAGTGACGTTGCGGACCTTAAAACTCCAGTTTTGTCTGTCCACACGCAGACACCCAAAACGGAGAAAACGCAGATCTTCACTTTGGCCGGAGTTTTTAAAAAGATCCGTTTTCGTGTGAAAAAACTCCGTTTTCGTGTGGATGACAGGCCAAAACGTAGGAAAATATCTACGTTTTGGCAGATCCCCGGCTACGTGTGGACAGGGCCTAAGACAACATGCATGAAGAGGATGATGTGGACAAAATACTCATTTGCCTAATAATTCTGCACTCCCTGTATATTAAATATTTTATTTTGTTAAGAGTCTAAAAATATCATAGCGCAGTTTTTAAATACTATCATGGTGGCTCAAGAGTTGGGGGAAAGTCATGTAACCACTGGGTTGCTGGTTTGAACCCCTCATCCATCTATCACAGTCATTGTGTCCTTGGGCAAAATACTTAACCCTCTGTTTCTGCTGGTGGTGGTTGGAAGGACCGGTGGTGCCAGTTTCCTGTGTGTGTGTGTGTGTGTGTGTGTGTGTGTGTGTGTGTGTGTGTGTGTGTGTGTGTGTGTGTGTGTGTGTGTGTGTGTGTGTGTGTGTGTGTGTGTGTGTGTGTGTGTAAAGCACTTTGGAGCCCTATAAACGGTCAATTAACAACAATAAAACCCCTAAACTCACTTTATGAGACCTAAACATGAATTGAGCCTTCAGCACCAAATGCAACATTTTTTGGATTATTTCCAGTTTTCGACGATAGGACTGTCACGTTCCTCAAAAAGAGAAAAATCCATTCAAATACGTTTATTCTGCCTACTGGTGGCAGATCTAAATACTACACTTGACAAATGACAATTTTATTCATTTATAATTACAAATGGTCTTAAAAAGTATCGTTTGCCATTTTTAAATCCAGAATAAACATTTTTTAACATACATGAAATACTAGTTTACAAATCAATTACTTTAATCCTTTCAAATATTTGCAGTTCCCATAAAAATGGTTTAATACGTCTAAATGTTAAGGATTCAAACGAAAAGTTACACTTTTACATAATTTTATGAACATTTTATGTCACAAACAAGAATGTACTCTTTTTACATCTCTAAAACAAAATGTTTTGGCTCTAAAAGTTATTTTGAGACTGACAAATCACTAAATGTGAACAGTTTTGCTTTGATGGAACAAGCCGAACTGTCTCTGGTCCGTCTTGAGGACTGACAGTCATTAGGAAACTCCCAATTTACGCACACGGGCGGACCCCGCACATGTGCGCGACTCTTGATAACCCAATCTGCGCGCGCTCAGAACCGGAAGTGTCGCGGGAAGCAGCCGGAGGATCAACTCGCTCGGAGTCCCACGAGTAAACAAGAAGCCGGGAGCCACGCCCACAGGAGCCGGCGGAGTTTGGCCATTTAAAGATCTGTCCAATGAGGGACAGGATCAGGACAGCGGACAGTGAAGAGGAAGACGCGATGGACGTCCATCTGTACTCCTCCAATGATGAGCCCAAGATGAAGAGAGACTTTGACAAAAAGTGAGTTTTGTTTGATACTTTGGAAAAAAGTTGCGATTCAATGGCCCCAGGCTTTATTTATGTATTGTCTTCTGTAAGTAAGCAGCTTTTACATCATGAAAACACAATTTCTGTTGGCAATTTTACTCAAATCAGAATGTTGTTTTACTTGCTTCTGTCTTTACTCTCTTCAATTGATTGGATCAGCAGATCCCCCCCCCCCCCCCCCCCCCCACACACACACACACACAGAGTCCCTCTCTGTTTAAGTTCACCCCACTGATCTCAGGAGAGATTTGAAGGCGAGAACCTGCTTGTAAATTATTTACAGCCACCTCATTGAGCCTGTTATGAACCTCTGGGTCTGAGTCCGGGGCCAACCGGGGCCATGCGGACACAAGGTGGTGCTGCAGAAGGAGAGATCCATCCACTCGTCTCTGTCTGAAGAAAAAAAAACATTACAACACAAACTATTTCCAGTTGAATTGCAGCGTTTGCTGATCTGCTGGCGTTTCAGTCCTGAGAGAAGACTAGAACTGATAACACCAACCGGCCCCCACCCTGTGTGAAACTCCCTGCTGAAATATGACTTTCAAAAGTAAAAACCCAAAAACATCCCCATCTTAATGAGATCTTAATGTTTACTAAGCTTGTAGATGGTAAATCCAGTCCATCTGCTCATCTTTGTCGTATCTCATATCTGTTTTTGTGTTGGATGACAGGGTGTTTGTCAACAGGAGCCTGACTCTTGAAAGCATCAAATGCTATGGTTTTGACATGGACTACACTCTGGCAAGTGAGTAAACACTAGCTAACTTCAGCAGTTTTGAGATGGGTTTATTAAGTTGGTGCTTACTATGTTTCCTCATGTGATTTCTTTGACTGTAGTGTATAAATCCCCTGACTATGAGAGCACAGGCTTTGAGCTCCTAAGGGACAGGATGGTGTCTGTCGGATATCCTCATGAGCTTCTGCGCTACACATATGATCCAAGCTTCCCCACTCGGTCCGTTTAAACTCATCAGTGGCGAACTTTAATCTCTCAATTTTATTCATTCAGTCGCTTCATCATTTCCTCTCCTTCTCCTCTCAGGGGAGTGGTTGTGGACACCAGCTACGGGAACCTGTTGAAGGTAGACTCTAATGGCAACATCTTGGTTTGCTGTCATGGTTTCCACTTCCTCAGAGAGTAAGTTCAAAATACACATAAATAAAAATGCATTATATGAATTTCAATGAAACACCCATGATGCAACCGATTATTAAAACAGCCAACCAAACAACAAGCCAAATGATGTATAGGCCGATTATTTAAACAACCAACCTACAAACCAAACAGTTAGCATACCAAGATGGACCAGTCAACCAAACAACCAGCTAATTTTTATTAATTAATTAATTAATTAATTAATTAATTAATTAATTAATTAATTAAGCAATTAAGCAATAAACTGACCAACAACTAGACAACCAATCAAACAATGAACACAAAAAATGAGTTCATTAAGTATCTATCCAACAACAAAAACAAAGAAACAATGGATTGGTCAACTAAACAACCAGCTAATTTTCAGCGTATTAATTATTCAATAAACTGACCAACCAATTAACCAACCAACCAGCCAACCAAACAGCCATCCAACCACCCAACCAGCCAGCCATCTAACCAACCAAACAGCCAACAAATGATGGGTCTCAAAATAAAATAAAAACTTTTCAGTCAACAAATTAACCAACAAACCAAATTATAAATCAAACAGTCAACTGGTAAGTAAGTAAGTAAGTAAGTAAAGTTTATTTATATAGCGCCTTAGTAAATGAATTACCTGTAACGTCCAAACGGATTAATCAGAAATCAATCAACCAACTAATCAACAAAATTCTAACCACACGAATAACAAAACAAACAATGGATCAGTTATACAAACACACAAACAACCAGTCATTATAACTATTAATCAATCAACCATGTATTTTCTTCACAGGGGAGATGTTCATTTCTACTACCCCAACAAGTTCATCCAAAGAGATGACACCGAACGCTTTTACATCCTCAACACGCTCTTCAACCTCTCAGGTATTCAGATTCACACAAACAAGTCAACTTTAACCTGTTTAACACTAAAAACCAACCTTAACGCCCCCTATTGGGGACCTCTACAGTTTCATGTCCCAAACATCTACAACTGTCCACATTCTCCAAACACAACTAAAACCACAATCAAACAGCCCAGACGGGAAACAAGGCCATTTTAAATAGTAATAAATTAAGATACAATGATATTTGAACTTTATTTTAGAAGAGCTTCTGAATCTCTCTGGTGAAAAAAAAAAACCTTGAACAAATTTAGTTCAGGACCCCTGGAATAAACAAAACAATTGACTAAATTTCCTAAATGGAATTTGAACTCTCAACCTCCACCCTGTCAGCACTTTTACACAGGACAGCTCTTCTAAAATGAAGTTCAAGTATTATTTTATCTTAATGTATCAAAAACCAAAAATTGCTTTGTTTACAAGCTAAACTGTTTTGATTGTAGCTGTAGCTGTGCTCGGGGAATGCAAACAATCACTGACACTTGGGACATGAAACTCCAAAGGCCCCCAATTGGAAGGCGCCAGGGCCCAAAGAAAAAAGGCCTTGGGCCTAAAGGGTTAAAAAAATTTATGTGGTGCAAAAGTTCATTTACTTCAGTAATTCAACCTAAAAGATGAAACAAATGAATGAGATTGACTCATTATATACAAAGCCAGATACCTGAAGCCTTTACCTGTTATAAATTTGATGATTATGACTCACATTCAAAACCTCAGAACACTAGAATATTGTGAAAAGGTTTAATATTCTAGACTCAAAGTGTCCCACTCTGATCAGCTGATGAATCCAGAACACCTGCACCCGAGCCTTTAGATGGTGTCTCAGTCTATGGTGAATTACTGAAATAAACAAACTTTTCAACATGTTCAAATTTTTCAAGTTTCACCTGTACTTCATCTATCTTGACAGGATAAAACTACAGAAAATAAAGTCAGAATTTTACTTCATCTTTAAATCAACTAAAGTCATTTTAATTGTGAAAGGATAATTACTTTTTGGTTTTCCACCCATTATTTTTAGACTTCAAAAATCATTCATACTCACCACTTTCCTCCTGCAGAGACGTACCTCTACGCCTGTCTGGTGGATTTCTTCACCAGATGCACCAGATATGCAAAGTGAGTAGGAACATTCACATCTCAGTAAAACATCCTCCACGATGTTTGGTAAACCTTTAATCCTGTTGCAGCCTGGAGAAAGGCTTCCAGCATGGTGACCTGTTCATGTCGTACAGGAGCATGTTCCAGGATGTCAGAAAAGCAATGGACTTTATTCACGACACAGTGAGAAGCAGAAACATCCCCATGCATCACATTTTTGGTTTTAGTTCACATACTAGATGCTGAAGTCAGACATTTGTGTGAAACAGGGAGTCCTTAAGGAACAAACTATCAAGAATTTGGAGAAATATGTTGTGAAAGACGTGAGTAAACTCTTGAGGCTGAAGATGATTTTGTCCTCAGAAAGGATTAAGTAGTGAATTAAAAACATGTTTTCTGCTCAGCCAAACATCCCTGTGCTCTTGACAAGAATCAAGGAGGTGGCGAAGGTTTTTCTGGCCACAAACAGCGACTACAACTACACCGAGGTGAGCTGACACGCTGTGCTCACACTGAAACATCTCTGCCTGCTCTAACATCTCCTTTTGTCTTCTCTCAGGTCATCATGAAGTACCTGCTGGAAGGAAACTCCAAAGTGAGGCAGTTTTATTCATCCTGAGATTTTCTAAAAACAAATGTTTATTTGAATAATTCAGGTGAAATTATTTGTGCTCTTGGCTGCAGCCTGGAGGTCCTAAAAAGCCCTGGCGCTCCTACTTTGATCTCGTTGTCGTGGATACCAGGAAGCCTCTGTTTTTTGCGGATGGGACGGTGTTGAGACAAGTGGACACAGTAGGATAATCATCTTCTAGAAAGAATCACTGATTGTTTGGAGTTTTTAAAAACTAGCTTCTTGTTGTGTTTTGGATGCAGAACACTGGAAAGCTCCGTATCGGGACATACACCGGTGACCTGCAGCACGGAACAGTTTATTCTGGAGGTGAGATTAAACTCTCAGATTATTCAGAAACAGATAACACACTGGAAGGATTTATTTTTGCTCAGGATGAATTTACCTGAATGAACTGAAAACAGCTTTTAATTAATTAATTTATTACAATATTGTTAGTTTTACTGTTTCACATCAGTTTGTTTACTTGTTTATCACTATGTGCTGCACAAGCGCTGCATGATTCTGAAGAAGAACATCTTATTTACTTAGATAGAATTACTAACTTTGCTTTTTTCTTTTCGCTAAACAAAAAAAAAATCACAGTGGAACATGAACTTTGGTGCATTTACACATTTTTTGTTTTGTTTTAAGAGGCAAGAAGATTTTGTGACTTTACTGAAGTTATATTTAGAAGACAAAGTGGTCGAAATAACCTTTTAATGGGAAAAATTGCAGAGCTCTGCTCTCAACAGTGTCATCTACTGGCAACAAGACTGAGTGACAATAATATAATATAATATAATATAATATAATATAATATAATATAATATAATATAATATGATATAATATAATATGATATAATATAATATAATATAATATAATATAATATAATATAATATAATATAATATAATATAATGTAATATAATATATTCATCCATTGTTTGAACCTGCTTTGTCCACGTAGGGTCGCGAGGGGGCTGGTGCCCAACTCCAGCCGTCAATGGGCAATCAGGCGTGGTAAACCCTGGACAGAGAGCCAGTCCATCGCAGATATGAATATAATATAATATAATATAATATAATATAATATAATATAATATAATATAATATAATATAATATAATATGATATAATATGATATAATATGATATAATATAATATAATATAATATAATATAATATAATATAATATAATATAATATAATATAATGTAATATAATATAATATAATATAATGTAATATAATGTAATATAATATATTCATCCATTGTTTGAACCTGCTTTGTCCACGTAGGGTCGCGAGGGGGCTGGTGCCCAACTCCAGCGGTCAATGGGCAATCAGGCGTGGTACACCCTGGACAGAGAGCCAGTCCATCGCAGATATAATATAATATAATATAATATAATATAATATAATATAATATAATATAATATGGTATGATATAATATAATATAATATAATATAATATAATATAATATAATATAATATAATATAATATGGTATGATATAATATAATATAATATAATATAATATAATATAATATAATATAATATAATATAATATAATATAATATAATATAATGTAATATAATATATTCATCCATTGTTTGAACCTGCTTTGTCCACGTAGGGTCGCGAGGGGGCTGGTGCCCAACTCCAGCCGTCAATGGGCAATCAGGCGTGGTACACCCTGGACAGAGAGCCAGTCCATCGCAGATATGAATATAATATAATATAATATAATATAATATAATATAATATAATATAATATAATATAATATAATATGATATAATATGGTATAATATAATATAATATAATATAATATAATATAATATAATGTAATATAATATAATATAATGTAATATAATGTAATATAATATATTCATCCATTGTTTGAACCTGCTTTGTCCACGTAGGGTCGCGAGGGGGCTGGTGCCCAACTCCAGCGGTCAATGGGCAATCAGGCGTGGTACACCCTGGACAGAGAGCCAGTCCATCGCAGATATAATATAATATAATATAATATAATATAATATAATATAATATAATATAATATGGTATGATATAATATAATATAATATAATATAATATAATATAATATAATATAATATAATATAATATAATATAATATAATATAATATGGTATGATATAATATAATATAATATAATATAATATAATATAATATAATATAATCAGCCTTCATTCGTGTCTGCAGGAGTGGTTCATCACTAAATGAAACAAATCAGCTTTGTTCGTGATCTAAAACATGCAGGAAACATGCTGGAAGTTGCAAGTGTGGTATTCTGGCCACAGAAGGCAGTAGGGGTCTGAGTGACATTTCATAAACACTGTAAATGGTCATTTTAGCACATACTGAAGAAAATGATTTCAAAATGTAAAAAGATGCATAGTGTGCCTTTAATAAAGGGACCCTTATTGTAAAGTGTTAGCAATAATTTTGACAAAGAAATCTTAATTTGTGCATTAATAGTATAAAAAGCTTTGTTTGCGATCATGGAATAAAATCAGTAAATGTAAAACAACCAAAATAACATTTTCATAAAGCCATGTCTACACTTTGGGCAGAGAGTCGTATACTCATAACAATACTCTTTGAAATCTAACCTCTGGTCATCTAATTCATACAATTAAAGGTCCTTTCATCAACAGCAATAATTTCATCTGTAAATATCTAAAAATCATTCAATAAAACACAAACTTATCATGTTTAAGTGATGTAACGTCACGAATGGCCTGATTTTGAGACCCCACAGGTCAAATGCACGGCCAGGTCAACTTACCCTGGCTATGACACATCCTACAATCTTTTCCCCTCACAGGAGACTCGAAGTCTGCATGTAGTCCCTTTAATCAGAGCCTAGTTCCTCACACCAGCTGGACATTTTCTCCTCCAAGGTCCATCACAGAGGAACTATTTAAAATAAACTCCTTTATTCCCAGAAAGAAGATTTTATAATTAAAGATAATCATTAAATATTGCCATTGCTAATTATAAATAATGAAATGTTTCATTAATCTGTGCTCAATGATTGTTTTAGTATGTTTACTTGACGAGGTTATAACATTTGCACTCACAAGTAAAGTAAAGTTAATGCATGACACATAAGTTAACCTTCTGCCTAGATTCAGAGTCTCCATAACAGAGGTTGTGTCTCTGGGTGCTTGGTAACATCTCTCAAACTTGTCAGCCCCTGATTGGCTGGCCAAACCATAATATCAATTCTTTAAAACCAGATGGCTTTGCGAATTAGTCAGTTCTAGAGTGAGCTTCAGACCGGCCATCTTTAGCACCTCTTTAACCAGAAGGATTTTGACACGTTATCAAAACCTTTAACATTTTTCGCACCTGCGAAGCTGAACAACAAGATAGTTTTCCTGCAGAACAAAGCTGACTCAAAACTCCTTCAGAGTTATTTTTAAGACGCTCGGTTTCACCCATCTGTCGTGACCCGAGAGACATCTCCGGACTGAAAGAACCGGCACCTCGGTACTCTACAGCCCTCCGGTGCCAGTGGTCATCCGACCTCTCACTTTCGGTTCCACCAAGAGGGTCTCTTAATCTGGGTAAAGTAGACACACAGATAGTGTCTGAATGTGGTTCTGATAATAACATATTTATAGCTTATATGCAAACCAAATTCTTTCCATCCAGAACGCAGCTCTGAGAATGGAGATTCTGAATACAATATTCACACATAGGTTCCAGACGCCATCTTAGTTCGCATCGGCTCACAGTAAATAATAGTTTAAACCATCTGCCAAGTCGTAAGTGTTTGTAAAATAAATTCTTACTTCGTTCATAAACCTGACTGTTTCTTGAATCAAAGCGACGTGTGTACAATCCCTTAATAATTAAAAGAATCCTAGGATCTTCTTATTAATCATACTAAGACCAAGCGGATATTCCATTAATATAGCGTATCATAGCTTTGGTCACAAGTAGTGGTAATAATAATAAATAGCTCTTAAGCAATTTACCCTCTATTGTCATTACAGTGACTATATTCTGTTCTCCACACTCCTGTTTCATTTTAATCCAGGTTATCTGAATGTGTGTTAATGTTTGCACTGTAAAATAATCCACTGGCTCTTTCTGCAGGCTCTTCAGATATTGTCAGTGAACTGCTGGACGTCAAAGGTAAAGACATCCTTTATGTTGGAGATCACATTTTTGGAGACATCCTCAAGTCGAAGAAACGCCAAGGCTGGAAGACTTTCCTGGTTGTACCTGAGCTCACTAAGGAGCTGCAGGTGTGGGAGGAAAAGAAAAGTAAGGAGACCAAAAGATGTTTTACTGCCAAGAGTTTTGATTTTTCTGATAACGTTTGGTTTTATTTCAGGTCACTTTGAGGAGCTGAAACGCCTCGATGTTTTTTTAGCTGAACTTTACAAGTAAGTCTGTGTTTGGATCAGGAAAACCCAACAAACAAGCTCTAAAACATGACTCAACAGTTACTGTCACATCGATACAGTCACAGGAATCTTCTGCTATTGATCGGAAAAGGGTAGAATACCTTCTCCAGGTCAAGGACGAGGCCCTTCCTCAAGTGAAGGAGTTTAAGTATCTTGGGTCTTGTTCACGAGTGAGGGAAAGATGGAGTGTGAGATCAATAAGCAGATTGGTGCCGCGTCTGCAGTGATGTGGGCGTTGTACCGATATGTCGTGGTGAAGAGAGCTGAGCCAGAAGGTGAAGCTCTCCATTTACCAGTAGATCTACGGTCCTATTCTCACCTTTGGTCACGAGTTTTGGGTAGTGACTGAAAGAACAAGATCGTGAATACAAGTGGCCAAAATTTGTTTTCTCCGCAGGGTGTCTGGGCTCTCCCTTAGACATAGGGTGGGAAGCTTGGTTATCCAGGAGGGGCTTAGAGTAGACCTGCTGCTCCTCCACATTGAGAGGATCCAGTTGAGGTGGCTCAGCCATCTAGGATGACTCCTGGACGCCTCCCTGGTGAGGTTTTTCAGGCACATCCAACCTGGAGGAGACCCAAGGGAAGACCCAGGACACGCTGGAGAGACTATGTCTCGCAGCTGGCCAGGGAACAGTGTAGGATTCCCCCAGAGGAGCTGGCCCAAGTGGCTGGGGAGAGGGAGGTCTGGGCCTCCCTGCTTAGGCTGCTGACCCGCGACCTGACTCCAGATAAGCAGCTGCGGATGGATGGATGGATGGATGGATGGATGGGAGGTTTCAAGGAATTACCACGTTTTCATTGCCAATGTTAAACTGTCAGAGCTTGATTCAGAAACATGTACCTGAACCTGTAAGCCTTTTACTTGATCTGCAGATTGGCGGCTGTGAGGAGAGATAAAAACATCCCAAAATAAAACATATGCATTACTTTTCCTTCATAATTGTAGCCAGGGCATGCAAGCATGTGGCTTGAATATTAATTTTTGTACCATTTTGCACAAACCAGATGCAGATTATCCACTGAACATTTATGCTGCTGTGTTTCATATGAGCCAGCAGGGGAAGCTGCTGCACCTTTCACATTAAGTGATTATCAGTGGCACAAAAAAAGGCATCAAAAATAAAATATCAGTGACAAACAACCAGTTAAATGTGTTTCAACAAACAAATATACACATTTACCCCAAAATACTTGAAATTTGACTTTTCACTTCCTGTTTGAACAACCAACTTGAGAGGATTTATTTCTATTTATTTTTAATTACAGACATTTGGACAGCGGCAGCAAAGAGTGTCCCGACATCAGCGCCATCAAGACAAGAATGAATGTAAGACGGAAACGCCAAAACCCAATTTAAACAGAAGTGTCCGTTGAAACGAGGTTTTACTGGCAAACCTAGAGAGGATTCTCAGTCTATGGTCTGATTGTCCCAAAAGGGTCCAACATTTGGACATTTTCTTGATTTTTGAAGACAGTTTGATTCATATCAGAAGGATAAGACCGGTATCTTAAACCGGCCATGACTCTTGTGGGTTTTTTGTTTCCTGATGAAATAAAGTTACCCTAAGATGATTCAGCCCCGAGTCTGCAGGGGTCCAAGTTTACCTACCTTAGAAGTGCTCTGTCTCATGCTGCACACGGAGACACCAACATCAACATCCCGATCATTGTTAGAGTCGCCTTTGGATGCATAAGCTGAAGGTGCCAGGATGTCCTACTTCCATGGGTGTAATTTTGGGGGAGGGGGGGGGGGGGGCATATCCCCTCTACTTTTTCCAAAGTCAATTTTTGTCCCCTGCAATTTTTACCATCCAAAACCAATATTACGCAATATTAAATAGACTGGTTGAGCACTAAGACCAAGAGTTCAGCTAGAATCTGATGTAAATGAGCTCTATTGATCCGATATTAAAAAGTAGGTGTAAAATGGTGACAAGGAGTAGGATTGAAAATCAATCAATCAATCAGATTTTATTTATAAAGCGCTTTTCAAGCAAAGTGCAACTCTACGTGCTTACACTAACAAGGTGAAAAACAAAGTTGAATTGAAAGTATTAGTTTTTTTTTTTACTGCTACTTGTGTACTTCACAGTTCTACATTCCTGACATTACATAAAAGAGCCTCTATAGGCTGTAGTTTTATACATAATTTTGTATACTTACTGTAAAGACACACCCCCAGCCCCCGGTCCTCAGGCCGGTTGTGTCCCCTCCACTTCTAAAGTCAAAACTACGTCCATGCCTACTTCCAACGCTTAGTGTAACCCGGACAGCTGACCAGCCAGAAAACTGAATCAGCTCCCCCTGATCTGACTGAAGAACTGAAAACTTGTGATGTTCTGCAGGTTCTGGCCTACAGGATGGATATCTCTTACGGTCAGATGGGCAGCCTCCTGCGCAGCGGCTCCACTCAGACGCTGTTTGCCAGCCAGTTGATTCGCTATGCAGACCTGTACTCGTCCACCTGCATCAACCTGCTGCACTACCCCTTTAATTACCTCTTCATGGCTCCTCCAGTGCTGGTTGGTACTCTCAGTCCTTCATCCACCCCAGGTGTACACCTTTAACATGCTCTAATGGTGTCTGCTCTGTTCTCTAGATGCCCCACGAGGTAGCATCTCAAATCTCTGCAGAAGTTTCCTCCTCAGACCAGAGCAATCGCACGTTAACGTCAAACAAAAACTGAGGTTTGGATTTGTTGCTGAATGAGAAGATTATCTTTGTTTTTAGGGATGATTAACATTAGGTTATTTCTTATTTTCTAGGTCACTGTCATGACGACATTAAGGGGGTTTGCAGCTTCTTCTGGACTTTATTGAAGAGACAGTTTGCAACTTTAAACGGATGATTTGTTGCATCTGTTAAAGTTTCTTTTGCACCATCAAGGCTCATGATGTGGATTTAAAAGCAACAAAAACTTTAGGGTTACTTTGTAAATATGAGTGTTTTTCATCGAGTGTCGCAAAAAGCGTTTTACTTTTAAAAATGATGAATGGTTTTAGTGTTAAACTTGTTGTTATTCATAATTAGTGGAACATTTGTTCAATTTAATATCACCAAATCCCTCTTACTATTTATGTTTACTTTTAAACTTTATTGTTCGTGGATAATTGCACTTGTGTGGCTTTTGCAAACGTGAAATTTAGGTTGTTTTAATCAGAAGCAATTACAGATGTTTCTGTTTCTGTAAAGACACTTCCTGTTAAGTTTTATGCAATATAAAAAGCTTTTACAGTGTTGTAATGAATAAAAAAATAGATGATGTGATGAAAAATATCTAATTCCTAAATGTAAGACTTTGTTTTTCTGCATTAAATTCCTGCAGCTGTTTTTTCTTCTTTTTTTGCTGCAACATACAATCTGTCCACTAGATGACGCTTAATTGCCACTGCATGAGGATACTTTTTTTTCCCGCTTTTAAAGATTAACCCTTTATTTCTAATTAACACACACCTTTATGTTTGAGTGGGTGCTGCTGCTGCCCGGTTTAGCAGTATTATTTATCCTTGCTTCATAAATATGGACAACTCAAATCCTTGTCTTGAATTAAGGATTTTGTTTCAGCATGCTCTGTTTAAATGATTCCAAAGTCTCAGTCAATGTAAGATTAAAACACACACACACACACACACACACACACACACACACACACACACACACACACACACACACACACACACACACACACACACACACACTTCCTGTATGATGTCAGCACTCGTGTGATTATATATAAGTACTTTTTTTCCAAACAGGAAGTGATCCAGTCTTCTTTTAGAGCGTAAATGTGCAGATTTATCACAGTTTTCTTGTTTTTCTTCCATACAGCATGCACAAGCTTTTGTTTGGGATTTTTATTTTCACTTTCAGACACATTCGTCTTTGCAGGAATATAATCCAGCTGGTTGCACAGTCTGAAACAGTTTCACGTCTCTGCAGTTCCTCACAGGAGCGAGTTCATGCAGATTCAGGTTTTTAGCTGTGAAATATCTTATAGCCTTGCTTTAGGTGACTCCCATCCATTCATCAGCACCTCTTGGTTGTAAACGCTCACGCTCACACACACGCGCGCGCACACACACACACACACTTCCTGGATGATTTCATTCCTGGGCTATTCTGGTCTTTCTGGGTTTCCGTCACCATTGTCTGCTGCTCACCTGTATTTGTTGTTGCTCTATCACTTTGTTGTTTTATTTTCCTGCCATATCTTTAATCTCTGCTGATTTATCTGCTTTGGAATCAGTTAACTGAACAAATAAAACTATTTCAATGCATTTAAACCTGTTTTTTCATTCTTATTGGACAGTAGCGGACAATTAAGTCAACCAACTCTTAACAGCAAGAAAGGAGCATTTAAAACGTCCTGAACCTTTTGATCTGTGTGCGGAATACTTTATATATGTAATCCATCTGTCAGGAACAGACAGGTGAGTTTTTACATTTCAACTGTTACAGGCACGCTGGGAATGTTGAGTCTGAAAACAAGCACAGCATTCAGCCCAGAGTGTAGTAAACTCACTCGAAATCTTGAAGCCAAGTGAAAAGAGAGCAAAGTGATGATATAAATAGAGCTGCACTGAGACATGCTCAGAGAACAGAAATGGACTTTTGGTGAAACTTCAGACACAAAATCACAGATTTTCTCTCTTTTGGGACATTATGTACATTCCTATAAATGATGAGAACATTGCAAAAGCAGCAGCAGCTGGACGTTTTCCTGCAGAAGCTGTGACTCACCACAGCTTTTCTGAGGCTGTGTGCAATAATTAGGTTCAAAAGGTTTTTTAAACTCTGATCTAAAATGCTCCATAAAAACAAGAATCATGTTTAAAAAACCTACTTCGTTTTAGAAACATACACATTAGATTTTTCTACTCACCCAAAAGATGAAAACTCAAACCTGCATTTTTTTGGTTAAATTTGCAGATTTCTTTTATCTGGTTTAGGTATATATATATATATATATATATAAGCAAATTAATAACATCTTAATACTCTTATTTTACAGGTTCCAATCAAACAAAAATACTTCTCAACAATTATCTTTGTTTTTCCAGTTTTTTTTTTGTAATTTGATAAATTTTGGTTATAAACTAAAGATTTTATCTTGGTGTTTAACTGTTTGTAAAAGTATTTTATATTGATCATAAAAGAGAGAAAGTCTCCATTTGCAGGCATTAAAAATGCAAACCCTGTTCACACAAGTATTGATTTTATTTCCAAAACAAGCAATGCATTGTGGGGTTTTGATTTCAATATCCAAATGGACCAACGGGCCCTTTTCTTCAGTAAAAATATTTTCACATTTATAATTTATCAGATTTATATCAGAAATTTAAAATAATGTTAGTAATTTATTCAAAATAAAGCAGGTAAAAAAATAAAACAGAACAAAAGTTTTATTTTATTTATTACAGAAATTTTGCAGTTTACAAAAAACAAATCAAAACATGTGTTTGAATAAAAAAACACATTTAAAGAAAACACATAGTTTATTATTATTTAAACATGTCTCTGTCAGAGATGTTATTTATTTAAAAAACCTTTACAAGCATCCAAAGACAATCACGTTCGCCCACAAACAGCAGCTGTGATAAACTCACCCAAACAAAGATTCAGGTTATTTTCTGTCATGAATAAAACACAGATGCCACTAATGCAATCAGCTGTTTAATCTGATTCACACTGAAGCTGCAGGAGGAGCAGCACTGACATGTTGCTGCTCTGTGCAGTCAGATAACTGCAGAAGCACCACCGTCCCCCATTCCACACATTCCAGGATTTCCCAGCAAGCATTGCAAGCAAGCCTAAACAAGTCACGTTCTTTACTCGGGGAGAATTTCACACAGCCAAGAGGCCGAGGTCTCCTGCCGCTTTCCCCTTCCACTGTTGAGCCACACAAACACACTCTTAAACCTGGAAATCTTCACAATCCACACATTACATTTCGAGTTTTAAACCTTTTACTGCAGCGAGACTTGAAAAGAGTCAACTTCCTGTCTGTTTTTAAGAAGGCCTGGTCTGAGGCAGTGAGCTGGAGCTGGTTAAACGTCCAGAGAGGTCTGCTGACACTCATCAAAACAAACAAACAAACTCCTTCACTCTTTTACTGCAGGGTTCAAACACGAGGCACACAGGAGCAGTGACACCTAATCTCAACAGGGCGGTGGGGGTGGGATGTAGAGAGGACCCTGCATTCCTTCCAAAGGGCCCCTCCCCCCCGTCGACCTGCTGCCACTGAGGATGCTCAAAGCCACACATCGACCTCCGACCCCCTCCTCCTCCTGCCTCTTTCCTTTTTCCATCTACTTATCAATACACGGCGCTGGAGGTGACAAACACAACGAAAGAAGGAGTTCTTTCACCAGAAGGGATCCCATCTGGTTTTGTTTGGAACCTTTTAATGCTCTGCAGCAATTTCATCAAAATCACTCACATTTGTGAGCCATCCTCCCCATGAAAAACGCCTCCTACTCACAGCAAATCCCCCTTCCCTTTAAACTCAAGGACTTGTGTCAGCCGACAGAGAGAGTAAACCCTCCTCTGTAAATACAGTGCTGGGTAAACACTTTTTAGGGGAGGCTTCATGCTCTGCGCCACCGCCACCTGCTATCAGATATCAGCTCCACTTCCTCACAGAGCCGCTCTTTTTAGCGCAGAGGCCAAATGCTATGACAATACTATTGCACTGCTAGAATGGATGGTACAGTAGTGCAACATTGTCAAAGCAGCTGACCTCAGCATGTGTCAGCACGCGGACGTGTGTGGGGGTTCTTCACTGACAAATTCCCAGTTTACAGCTATAAGGAGGGGAGAACAATAAAGAACCAGTGCCATTTGTTTAGGCAGAACTGTAACCAGATCTGCTGCCATTCAAAGGAAGAAAAGATAAGAAGCTGCTTGTTTACAGCTAGGAAGTGAGAAGGTGTGGGTCTGTTTCATCAGCCAATGCCCTTTTAATATTGCACTGCTCGTTTCAGCGTCCAGTAGTGCAACAGAAAAAGGGCAGTGGACAACAACATGGACACCCACCAGCCCCCAGAAGGCATAGAAAAGAGCTCTTATTTTGAAAATCCGGCTTATTTTAGTTTTGGCGCACACGATTTATGGTGCTTGAAAAGCAAAACAAAACGGAAAAAGTCGTAAGGATGTGACAGGTTATCAAAATCACTCCTCACCGTGGAGCTAAATGAACTTCCCAAATTAAGCGGCACTGCCCCCCCCCCCCCCCCCCCCCCCCAACCCACCCTGGGAGAATGGGAATTTCCCAGCATGTGGGCCCATACGATTCTCTCCAGTGAACGACATGCATTCTAATCTTGGTGGAGAAATGGGGGGTTGGAGACCAGGAAGGAGAAGGGGGGGGGGGGGGGCCTGAATTATTTAAAAACCAAATTAAGTTTTTTTTCCTTCTACAATAAATTCTGTACTTTGCGTTCCAGTCAGAATAAAAACGATTAAATGAACGAAAGCCCCTCTTTTTACAAACGTCACCAGAAGCGCTTAGCAAAGAAGAATCCCTGAAAACTGTTAAAGTCGCTAAAATGAAGGCAAAGTGCAACTTTCCACCATGAATGCGCAGTTACACAACCCATAGTCCATACAGCAGAAACCTCCAGAACACCGTGACGCTTCCACCAGCCATCCCATAATTCCTGTAAAACACCTCCAGGTGTTGGTGTGTTTTTCCTCCCTATACGGTTGTTTATTGTTACCTGACTGTTGGAGTACACGTTTTAAATCCGCCACCCTCCGCCAGCGGCCTATCCGCCTCCTGCAGCCCGGGGTCCGCTCCGTCCGATCTGGCTCCAAAACCTACAAACACATCACTGGCGACTTGTTAGATTGCAGAACAGCACACAGGGCTGCACACACCGACACATGCACGCGCCGGCTCCGTGGATTTACTCCCACCCCACCCTACAGACACACACACACACACTCACACACGCCTAGTTCCAATGCGATAAATGAGCTCCACGGACGGCGCGTCCTGATCCAAGTTTTTAACGCGAGCGTTCCAGATGCGCAGCGCACACGGGATCGACATAACTCTCCCCGCTGTCCACCCCCCCCCCCCCCCCCGCCTTCTCGTTGAGGTCGCGTAAATAGGAGCGAATCTTTTCAACTTCCAAGTTTTCACCGTCGTTTTTACGCAAAATCAGCGTAAGACTCACAGCGCCCCCCTCCCTCTTCCTCTCCCTCTTCCTCCAGAATCCCGATCTGACCAAAGGGAGGGACGATCCGTTATAGGGAATGGGAAAAAAGTTGTCCGTAAAAAAGGAGGAGAAGCGAGCCATGCTCCCCAGTAAGCTCCTCTGAGGATC